TCTCAACTGTTGGAGACTTTCTTCTTGTTTATTTTCTTTCTCCTCCAGCCACTGCTGTAGTCTCTCTTCTTGTTCATTTTCTTTCTCCTACAGCCACTGCCGTAGTCTCTCTTCTTGATCATTTTCTTTCTCCTCCAACCACTGCTGTAATCTCTCTTGTTTATTTTGCTGTTCAAGCTGCCACTGTTGCAAGTTATCTTGCCATTGCTGTAATCTCTCTTCTTGTTTCCTTTCTCGTACTTCTTGTTTCTTTTCTTTTTTTTTTTCATCCCACTTCTGACACCAATTTGTTATGTCTCTGGTCGTTAGTTAATTTTCCGTAAAAATTCTTTCCGAAGAAATTTTAGCGATACAAGTCCTTTCTTAAATAAAATTGGTTTATTCTTTCTGAATAAAACTTTGCTATACACTTAATTTCGATAGTCGCGCTATAACAAACGTATAATTCACAAGAACGTGTCTCACGTGCTCGACTCAACTGTCTCTGCCTGCAGTTCAATTACACATTGTTGCCGTCACTTCTTATACATACAAGACTACCGCATATCAAGTAGCCTCTCGAGACATCAGGAAGGGACGTGAACGTTCGAGAATATGATGTGTTACTAAAGTCACGTGACCCCCGCTGTCGTAACAGTATGGTTGATATACTATTGTACTTATACTCTTCTTGAAAAAGCCTTAAGTAAAGTGACAAGATTTTCTGGAGTCCAAAGCGGGACACCTAACTCAGTTTGAACGTTTGTATATGAAAATGAAGTATATTGTACGAGGGCAGGATAAATCTTATGTTCAGTCATAGTGGTGATAATTTTGATAATGCGGAACATTTAAATTCATTATCTCCCAAAGCGGGACATTTTCGCATCCCTTAAACTTTCTAGGAGACAGCGGGACTGTCCCGCCGAAATTGGGACGTCTGGTCACATTAGCCTTAAGAGACCGAATAAGGAATGTAGTACTAAAAGTATAATAGGCATAAAACTAATCTAATATCTTATAAAAACAGGATTAGCTATAAACAAGAGGTTTATTCTATAGAGATAGAATGATTGGTGTTAAAATACGTTTGAATAGCTAACAAAAGGAATTATTATTTCTATCTAGGAATATTTGAAAGGAGCGCCAGATGAATTACTAACAGATTTGAGTTTACTAATCTAGTGTTCTACGATAATAATATACCTGTTTCATTCGGCTTTATTTTCCATTTAAGTAGACGTTAAAACATCCTAAATTTTCTTTCGACTATTCTGTTTTTTTTATTTGTTTGCTTTTACGCCAACTTTACAATATTTTTTTAAAGCTAGTTAGCACTGAGTAACGAATACATATTAAATTAGAGAGTACGTGAATCACGAAAGGCTTAGGATAATCACTCATTTAATTAGTAGTTTTGAAATAACTAAATCTGTAAGTGAAAAACAAATTAATGAATCTTAATATATTTATGTAAGAAGTAAATATGTTGTAGTTTCTCAAAATAAACGTTCATTATACACAAGCTGTCATAAGTTCTCAAAGCCAAACGATAGATAGGCCTATGTCATGGCTGTGCATTTTTCTATTATTAATATAAATTATACTTTATAGATATACTTAAAATAGGCCTTTAAATTACAGTTACATCGTTTAGGTCAACTAGTGTAACTTATACTAAGTTATAGCAAGAAAAACTGTGTCGTTATTTTAAAGTTTAAGCTCATTATGGTCGTATTAAACTTTTCTAAGATAGATTGCATTATAATTATTTTCATTTCAGTTTTGGTTGTGGACATTTTACGAACACGAAAAGATCTCATTGCAAATGAATCTAGGGTTGCCACTGCCAATATCAGTATCAGTAAGTGTTACAAGAGGTGCATAAACTCGTTACTTTTGAATAATAAGCTTACTGGTAACGCTAATATGAATAGTGCTGATGTAACCAATGATGAAGAACACAAGCTCAGAAATTCTGTTGACAGTAAAAGAATCAGAAAGATAAAAAATATTACTTCCGGGAAATTTAAAACTTTCCAGTTCTGTTTGGTGCTATGGTTCTGATAATACAAATCGACATTGCAGATTCCGGAACCTGTGTTTTTTTCCTAAAACAAATGACTTTGTGTTTTTTCATGGATCAAAGTCTGTGTACTTTGGTATTCCAGAGAATCGATTCAACCCAGCATTGGCTGATTTAGCTTCAGTTGAGAATCATAATACACAGTACTTCCATTTTACAGATATGCCTGAATCAGAATCCCAAAGTTTCAACAAAACTTTCATTGATAAAAGATTTTTTATATTTAACAGATTCAATCCAGGTAATTTAATGCATGTTTTGCATGATGACTTGATACCACTGATATCATCCCTGAAAGAGATTTGCGGAGCGGTAACTATAAAGGAAACTCAGGAGTGTTTGAAAAGCTTTGAACTGTTCCTTGCAGATAAACATCCACCAGGAATGTTTTTTAACCTTTATGAAGAATTATCAGCAGGTAGTCCAGTGTTAGCTATAAATCTCACTGATAATATGATATGCTTTGCAGAAAGTTTTGTTGGCTTACGTAAGCATACGTTATGGTATCAATATGGGTTCAAAATACCTCAGGGGCCTCTAAAAAGAGATATGAAAATTGTAACTCATGAAGTTAAGATATTTATAGAAATGTTTAGAGGAAAATTCGGTAAAAAATATAGCTTCACAGATGATGAGAGTTATGCTGTTTTAATAACAAGGAATAATCGAATTATTATAAATGAAGCTGAGGTTTTGGAAGAACTACATAAATGCTCTGGTTTAAAAATGAAGAAAATTAGCCTTGAAGAAAACAGTTTGCAAGAAATTATTCAAGTCATACATAATTCAAAGGTGTTAGTTGGCATGCATGGGGCTCTTCTTGTTCTGCTCATGTTCTTAAAACCAAATTCTATTGTAATTGAGTTGTTTCCTTATGGAGTAAATCCAGACAATTATACCCCTTACAAAACATTGGCTACACTCCCAGGATTTGGTTTAATTTATCATGCATGGCGAAATACAGAATTAAAGAACACCATAATCAAACCAGATAATCCAGTTGAATTGGGAGGCATACGTCACCTTCCTCTAACAGTTCAACAACAAATTTTAGACAGTCCTGAAGTACCTCAGCATTTATGCTGCAATAATCCAGAGTGGTTGTTTAGAATTTATCAAGATACTATAGTAAACATCAGTTCTTTCTCTCAAGTGTTGCAGCATGCATTACTGCAACAGGTGGAAGGCAAGATCTTTCAACAACATAATGAGAACTTGATAAGGAGAAAACTCTACCCAGGAGAAGTGCAGAATCTAGCATGTCTTGTTTCCAGTGATGAAACGTGGACTAGTTTGGTGCTTTCATGGGAAAAACCATGGAATTTAAAATATATTAACTTTTCCCTGGTTGTGTATGAAGTATTAGTGCAGGAAGTAAATACAGAAAAGGTGCATTCTGTTCAGGTAAAAACAACAAAACATACTTTTTACAAGCTCCAGCAAAACACTGATTATATGATTTGGCTACGTTGTCAAGTGGATGGTAGGTCAGGGCATTTTAGTACGTACCCATTACATTGTTATACGTGAAACTAGAATATTTTTGTGTTGTCAACTTGTGATTTTTCTTCATTGTCATGTTTCAATAGTATATCAGATAAGAGCAATTGTGTAATTTTTAACTTAAAAATATTCAGTTGGCTGCATAGCACTGAAAATCTTGTTGAAATGTAATTAAATCTAAAAGAAATAGTTGAACAAACTGGATGACGGGACTTTAGTAATCATACAATTCATGCCGTTATGGTTTCTGACTAGACAGATCTTGCTTATCTGTTTTTCTTCTATATCTTGTTTTTTAATATGAAAATTATATAAAACCACCAATTTAGTACTGTATATATAATGGTGCAGTTGAACGAGAAGGGTAAATAATTTGATTGAATAGAGTGCAAAATACTTTTGACTAAATCTAATTTTGTTAACACATGAATTCACTTTTGCAGCTTTATGTGGCTCTTTATAAATACTCTGATTGAAAAAATTATAGACTCAATCAGGCATACATATGGAGTGATAATATCAGATTTGATTTATTTATTTGAATGTTTTTTATTTAAAAGAAACAGGATACAGTTGCACTACACATCTGCTTACATTTTACATTCAAATTCCAAAGCTTTTGTTGCCAGTACAACAAATGTCAGCCAATTAAAGTTTAATGTTGAAGTCTGAGTGGATGTGCCAAAGCCTCATTAGGCAGTTGGAAGTACAACATAATGTTAGGCTGGCAGTTAGGGTTAGAAATAAACTGTAAAATCACTGTTAGAAATACTCCAAAATATTTATGCATGTTGCAGCTTTGAAACTGTTTTGGTATTAGACAAAAATAAAAAAATGGCTCTTTTTTTTTTTGAAGGATTGCAGACCTCTGGTGTAGTGTGTTCATTAGATCATTTTGTTGTAATGAGAGTTCAATGAATGGTCAATTATTTACTGAAATAGTTTAGATACAGTTTTTCTATAGTTTTACTGAAGAAGTATAACACCAATTATGTGATTGATTCAGAATACTGGAACAGTATTTTGTACCTATACTTTTAAGTTTTATTTTTAGTTTACTTGGAAATCATCAGTTTGAGTTGTTAGTAGCTTTACAACAAATTTAATAAATGCAATTTAAAATTATGGAATGCATTTTTGTTTACTTTTGGAATTGTTTTAGGTTGCTTGCTAAGTCCTTCTTTCCTAAACCTATCTTGGAAGAACCGAAATTTTTACTGTTTCAGAGTTTTCTCTTAGCATAACATTACTCTTTAGTTGTCTTTGGAATTAATGATGCCTTGAGAGTTGTACCTCTGTAAACGATAATTTTATGTAAAATCGAAAGCACAATTGTTTGTGTGATATTTCTGTAGATGAATTTGTCTATTTAAAGAAAGTATTCATTCTCGTGTTTTTGTTAAAAAATATTACCTACGTCTAAAAATGTTGTTTTTAAAGACAAAAAAACTATGTTAGTTTTATGAACTTGAAATCATTCCTCGGTCATTAAAACTGTAAGTCTGAGAAGCCAGTAAGTTACAAATTCTTTATTACTAACTTAGAAGTTATTTGCCTTGTAAACATTTTTTTAAAGAGTGGCTTCCAAAGTCACAAACTCAAATTATAACCAAATAATCATTGTATTTAAACCATATTTTTTAACTCTAGATAACCCTTGGTAGTAAATGAGTTTTACCAGAACAAAAAATTATTTTCATATATTTATATATATATATATA